AAATATAAATTCTTTTAGTTTATAGGTTTCATTTTTAGGATTCTCTAGATTTAAGTTTCAAACTAAACATTGATTTCCTCTTATACACACATATTTGTTTTCTCTGCTGTTAAGGGTAAGGAAACTATTCTTGGGTTCAATCCATGTAGAACTGGACTCCAAATCACTGAAAGATTAACCACTGTCAACATGCAGTGTGTTTAATCTCTTGTGGAGGATCAGTGGGGTGGTGGTTTTAGATACTGCTGGCTCTGGCTTGACAGTCTATGCCAGATATTTTAGACTTTTATACCTAATTTTCTGGTCTCTTTTTTCCCCCATTTAATCGTCAGAACAATCTCTGTTTTCTTTCTTTGACCGAGGCTGCATGAATGTGATGCAAACTCTCTGGTGTTTAATATGTCTTAGGTATCATATAACCTTAAGGATATGAATATAAAATTATCCCCAGAGCCGTAAGTTAGAACTGAAAAGATAATGAAATAAACGAAGTAAAATATATTTCTAGATTAATAGTTCTATGTCAGTACTTCTGAAACTAAACATCACAATGCTAAGCTTCAGAAAAGATGCTGTTTGAAAGGGTCCTGTCACCTTGGTTGGTCTGTCTTGACAAAAATGAATATCATCTTTTCCTTATCTAGGTTATTAAACCTATAGCCAAATTAGTTTTTAAATATGAAAATTAGTTGTTATAACAGGAAGCAGTCACTGCTATTGTTTATAACACAAGGTAAAGAATTCTCTTTCTGTAGAAGAGGCTGAAGACATGTAGGCAGCATATTAAGACTTTGAAATGAGTGCATTAACCATCATCATCAGTCCAGCATGGGATTTTGCACCTCTGCTCTGGCCATTAGCTTTACCAAAAGGGAAGATTGGTGCCCTTCTGGGAGATAAAAATGATCAATAATAGCAGGCTAACCTGACGTCTGCTCCTCAGGATCATGTCATCACCTCATACTGCTCACTCTGTCATTTGCTGCACATTAGATGAAAGTAAATGAAAGACAAAATAAAGATATTTCAGAACAATGTAGGACTGGAATTTCTAAGGTTTTCTGCACTGACATGAAAAGTTTTTTGAATCGCAGCACAATGTAATATTTTAGTATGAATACACATTTTACTGCAGGTTTATAACTCCAAATTCGATGCTGGGTTATGAAGTATCTTTAGGGCATTTGGAAGTACCTGTAAGCATCTATAATTAACCAGAATTAAGCCATCAATCCCAGAACGAATAAAAATGAGATTAGTTTGAGCTGTGAAAGGTTACATGCTGCTGCACAGTTACTTTCTCTGAGTGATAGTAAATGAATGAATTAACACATTTCCTTTATTACAGTTGCAATTGCCTATATAAAATATAGTGTGCCCCATGTGATTGTTTTTAATAAGAGACAGAAATAAAATTCAGGTTTGTTAAGTGCAAGTGAAATAATTTGATTAATTTGAAGTTTCTTTTCTGATAGCTTAGTTCCATGGAATAAGAAGTTTTAAAGTTTTGTTTTTGGTTTTTTTTTTTTTTTTTTTTTTTTTTTTTTTTTTTTTTTTTTTTAATATTACATATACATCCTACACAAATGTAGCTTCTGGATACCTTACCCCACACCTGAAATTTCTCCATTGCTTTTATATGTAATGCACCATAAGATTCTATTGTGAATGCCTCCAATCTGAGAAGTAAGGGAATTTATATTAATTCTGGCCTTGATCCAGATTTATATTTCTGTCTTATATTAAAAATGCTGTGGAGAAGGAAGAAAGAAAAAAACCATACTGAAATAAAAAGCGCTGCTATGAGTACACCTTATCATGGCTAGTTCTAAGGGCAGGGATCAGGTACAAGGAGTGGGGTACCTCACATCCTTTCAGATCATATATAAATCACAACTGGCTTACTGGACATTCCATACAGCCATGAGGCTGTCCTAAATTACACAATCCTCTTCACATAGATTTGCTTCAAATTGTAAAGCAAATCAGTAACATTTTGATGTGCATGGCAACATTCTGATGTGTGTTGAAGCCTTACCTGGTAGGTTAATCCTCAAAAGAACATTTTCCTGCCATTGAGCCAAATCACCAGGCTGGGGCCATGATGCACCTAATGAGTTTTACAGACTCAATGTGCAGTCTCTTCTGCAGGATGGACTTTTTATTCTTACATCCCACTCCCCACCCAACCCCCCTGCTTACCCCCAAGTATAGAAGGCAAATGTAAATTAATGAAAGACAAGCTTTAGAAATGCATTGTGGAGAGCAATTACCTTCATCTGTAATGATGGCTAATCAGAAAGCAGGAGAAAAAAGAAACACTGACAATTCTCTGCTTCTACTCCAGAAATGGAGGGACCTCCTTCATACAGAGATGTTCCACTTTCTAATCTAATGGAAATTAGATGAGTTGACTGAGAGTAGCTCATGCTGCATACTGTTACCTAAAAAGACTTTTTCTCTCATGAATCCCATTCCTGTTACCTTTCACCAGTGTGGTTAAAGTTAGAAACAGAATCTTTTGCTTTGAGTAATGAAGACGTGAACTGAAATACAAACACGTCTGCAGATGCAGCATTTCTACAGACAAACCAGTATCACTGAACCAGCTAATGTGAAAGATTCATCACTGCATTTCCAGTGTCATGGCTGTGTGATTTCCATGTAACTTCCCACCAGTCAGTGCTACAGCCCTGAGGAAGGCAAACCTTGCATTGAATGTGTTTTTTCTTTTGACTTTGTGCTGAAAAATGTTTGTCTTACTGAAGAAGCAAAGGCAATGTATTGTGGATTTCTGGGCAAGGAAATGGATGTTAGGTTTCAACACCTTGGTTCAGAGGAAGCTTTGGCTTGTAATTCAGCCATCTGTAATAGGATTTGGTTCACTGTGTCTGACTGAGACACTTGATTACTTTTCTTATTATATAATTAATTTAGACATCCTTACAGTGGGAAAATATCACACAACGGCAATACCCCTCAGAAAGGACTTTTCTTTCCTAAATGAGAATGTTAGGAACAGCCTGGAGGGAAAAGTTAAAAGATTAAAAGTGAAAAGATCAGCATGGAGGCTTCTTAATGAATCGCTCATTAGGGTCAGAAAAAGGGAACCAAAGGCAGAAAGGAAAGAAAACAGTATGAGTAACTGGCAAAGTACAAGAGTTTATTCAGACAAAAAAAATCTTTTAAAATGGTAATGTAGCTAAGCCCAGAAGAAGTTAGTATCATTGTAACTGTTGGTAGATATAGCACTGAAAGCATAGAGGCCCAATTGTGCTTTCAGTTGCACAAAACTCCTGTTAAGGGTAGGTCACTATGGGGACTAGAAGAAAATTTGAGATTATATGAGTCAATTGAACTAGTGAGCTTCTAAGGGGTTAATCAAAGAGAATGAAAGGTCAAACATAGACACCTTAATCCATGTCAGTGTGAAAGGTATTATCACCCATGGAAAAACAAGCTACTATGATCCTTAGTGCTTTGTCTGGAAGGCAGCATGCTTAGCAGAATGATCCCAAAATAGATGTTCTGACAAATTTGTACAGCTTGTTTCCTGTTTCTTCCCCCCCAAAGTAAAATTTATTGCTCTATTTTGAAAATAAAATTAATTGGTGAACTCTCTTTGCTGTCCTGAGATGTTCCTTGTGGGTACTGAGGACCAGCCAGAGGCAGCAAAACAAAGACAGCTGTTACAGCTGGAGTGAGCTAATCTATGATACTGTGGATCAGTGCATCCTCGAGCAGGTGCAGTCTCGATTCTCAAGCAAGCAAAAGTGCAGAGAAGCCCAGAAGGGGTAGTGCAGTGCCTTCCCAGGGATGCTAAATGAGCTTCAGTTTAGTGCTAGGAAAATTACTGTGCAATTCCTTGGGTGTGTGGCTGTCCTTCACTGACATGGCTTTTTTTTTTTTTTTTTCTTAATGTTATGTTTAAGAACATGGAATGGCATCATAAATTGTATTTGAAGATAAAGTGATTTTGAACCCTTTTTCTTTGAAGTGCTTTGTAGGAAGACCATGTGAAAAGAAATATTTTTACCCAATTTGAGAAAAACTGTAATTGTCTAATCACGGTAAACTGCTAATAACAAAACTAAGAAGAAAACAATAAAGACAGCACAACTAGAGTCCCAGTTTGATAACACATGGTGATTCTTGCCCCATGCCTTCAATTTCTGACTGTTGTACATGAAGTAGAGAAACTGAGGATGGAGAAAACAAACCCCAAGCCACTCTAGTAGTAGCAGACTTACCCCTTGGCAGGGGAAGAAAGTAAAACTGCATAAATATTTAGGTTTGGGCAACAAGAATGAGTGGAGAAAGGAGAAAAGATGAAAACCAATAGGAGTTTATAAGCAAAAAGATGAAAGGATAATATACCTCTTATAAACCTAGACTGGGAAGGGCATGAATGGTTTCTCAATAAACAAGCTCAGGCTGCATCTCTGTACATCATGTGCTGCCTGCTTCGAGGAAAGGCTCTGGCCAGGCTGTGCTGATGCTAAAGCAGAGTTAAACGGAGGCCAGCTGCCAACAGAACATTTTTTAGAGAAGTCAACTTGTGCATTTTTCTCCTTGCGTAAGCCCCCCATCATGAAAATACAGCTGTTCAGTGGTATTCTGGAATGTTTTACTTATTTGCATGTGTCCCTCTCAGCTAGAAATGCTGAGGCACAGCACTCCTCTTCAATGTCTCCCCTCTGTTTTCTGAAAACTGAGTGGATTCAAGAATCCACTGAATTTTAATTTCTATTTCTGTTCCTATACTTCATCTACTGATTATTAGAATGTACTAGCCAAGGATCTATCAGTAACTCACAAAGTTGAATGACCTAGAAGTAAAGAAAGGAATAGGTGAATTAGCTGAAATTAGGAGTTCAGTTAAATCATTCTTTGTTCTGGTTGTAACCCTAATTATAGCTTTCACCTCAAGAAGTGAAATACTGTCTAAATATTGACTTTGCCCAAATTCAGTACTAGTTTCTTCAGCTATTGCCAGTTACCTTTTGCTGTAGCCTGCTTTTTATCTTGTCTTCAATCATGCCACTCACTGCTGCATTGCCAATCTGATCTCACTTTCCTGCTGTGAGGCTGTCTTCTGTTATTACCAGTTTCCTGTGCCTACAAGAGAAATGCTACTCAGCTGCAATAAAAGGAGATAAACACCACAAATAGTAACCAAGCATTCTAGCTAGCCCTGTTATGTGGTGAATACCTGGACAGTTTTGCTATCAAACAAAACACAAATGGAATAAAAATTTTAAAAGACACCTCACTAAAGGCCAAAATCCATGGTTCTTTCACATGATGGTGTAGTAGATAATACTAACAGCATGTCATTTGGAACATGATAGTTTCCTATCTTTTGTTGCAATTCACTTGAAAGCTAAGAGTAATTTTAGTATAATCCATCATTTATCTGAAGATAAAACCAAAAATTATTAGACCAGCAATTTTATTTCATATGTGCTTTGTCTCAAACAGCCACAGATGTTGCAGGACTTACAGTCAAGGTAACCTCTTTTCATTTGTTACAGCTGAGGTAAAAGAATGTTAAGTATAAGTATCATAACTCCCCTTATTGGTCAAATTTGTTAAATTCCTCAAAATGTTCCAAAGTGACAAAGATCCTTCTAGGGTACATCTGGCAATTTTAGGGGTTTTTTGTTTTCTTTTGTTGGCAAAGGATACATTTTAGAAAATGGTACAGAACATGGAATGAGTGCTCTGAGTAGAATGACTGTCTGTTAGTGAAAGTGATCTTAAGAGACAAATTTGTTGATGGAAAGGAAATGGAAAGAAATACTGTCATTAGCAAAAGATTACTGGCTTGCTCTTCACTGCTAGGGCGTTTGGATCAGAAGGGAGAGACAGAAAATGATACTGTGATTAGTAACTTTCTTACATACAGCCACAATTGCACTGAAATAGTTCTCCTGGAGCTTTCTGTTCTGCAGGCTGCAGTGTTTTCAGCTTCATGAATGAGCTCTGTGCATCTTCAAACCCACAGGGTGCATTAGGTTGCCACCTACTCAAACTCTTCAATGCATTTGAACTCACCTCGTGCAAAAATTTTAACTTTTATGGAAAGTTAATTTCATGTAAGTAGGTGAGGTTAAATACTCAGCAAAAGCAACCTCTTTATTCCTGTTGGTGATGTGGAAACTAAACCTACAATAGTGAAAAGAATGATGTAATTTTTTCCTCCATTTCCCTCTCTCTTCAAAAGTGATCCACATTTTTTATTCTGCTTTCAGAATTCCATGAGATTTCTAAGTGTGTTTCTTTGTAACATTCTGCCATTTTACCTTCTCAAACCTGATCCTAAAATGCAGAGGCTGACTTCTTAAAAACACCATAGTCACCTTTAGGACTAGCTGCCCAAAAATGTGAACTTCCATCCAAGAATACTGAAAAATTCCTAATTAATTTTTGAGAGGAACACAGGGTAAAAAACAACATCTGTGTCACTGCATTTCTGATGGAATTGTTGTACAGCTGAGAGCAGAAGGAACAAACAGCAGCAGTAAACTAGATAAGGCTTGAAAACTGAGCCAAGATTACCCAAAGGCTGGAGATTTAGCTAAACATGCAATAGAGCCTACAAGACAAGCAAGCTGCTGTGGGTCTGTAGTGGCCAGGCTGTAGCTGCACCCAATCCTCCCAGCTGTGAGCTCCCAATCTCACCATGCTTGCAACTCTGAAAAGATTCTCAGTTTATGCTTCTCCTTCTGGAGAGATGGTTGCTGTGCTGCCAGCATTACTGTCAGAAATAGCTGAGGGCAATACTTTGCTTTGCTGTCCACCACCCTTCCCCGCTGGGTCATTTGTCCTCTTTTTTCATGTGGCCAACAGAAAGCCCAAGCAGATCTATTTGTAGGCCAATGAATCTTGATAATCCATCTCCCCAGCTCAGCTTTAGATACAGCATATCCAAATTCAATTTTAGTTGATTTTTTCCTCTCATTGAGGTAGTCTCCTAGCAGATAACCATTAAATCCAGTTTTAAAAAGACACTGTATTAACCATGCGAGTCAGATGTAGTGTTTGATTAAAGTAATGCATAAATATCCATGTTCTGTATCCACATCAAGACGAATATGACCTTTTATGAGGCAGAATAGGATACTTAAGTGCAGAGAACATGCCAACAACTCAAACAATTGCATGCTTCTTAGAGTGTGATTAAGACACCTAAAATTTGTGTAGCTATAGCCACAGGTGAACTTATGAATGCTACTGGTGACACTATAATAACTTCTGGAACACAAGAAGTTCCAGAGAAAAAAGAGAGGTAATGAGCAAATAGGAGTAATTTGTGACTGCTTAAAATGGTTTAAAGGAATACTATACCTTTGTATAAACAAGATTTTAACTAGGACAGTGTAATGAGAGATTGTAATTTATGTAACTTTAAATTACAATATTAATTACTGTGATCAACAATAGGCAGTGCCAGAGTAAAGAACTACTTAAATATGCTGCTTTAATAAACATGGAGGATAAAATTACCACAGAGAAGAAAACTTAGGAGTAGAAAAATGCAGTCAGTACCCATAGTCCAAAATAGAATTTTTTAAAAAGGGCATTAACCTTGACACTTATTTCCATGTCACTCCATACATTTCTAGAAAGTACAAATAAATCACCATGTTTTCATTCTGCACCCACCTCTGTTTTTATAGTATGACAAAGAGTGAAATGAAATATATTTTCCAATACTTAATACAATTAATATTATTCAGGAAACACAAATACCATCATTCATCATCTTGTTCTAAGAGGACTGTAAAAAGCAGGTTGTTGAGTTGTGATATTTGAAAGTTGAAGGCAGCACTCTCCTCACTCCTGCAGTGCTGTGGGTACTGACACTTCAGTCCTTTTTTGCTATAGCTGCACTTTGCACATGCTGGCCAGCCCAAGAAGATATTGTTTCAAAGCAGGAAGGCAGGATACCTTACAGTATGGAAAATGAGCAAACTTCTGCTCTCCCCCAGTGCAAAATTTCTCTCTTTCCATCTATTACTAAGATAAAAGTAAGAGGAGAATAAAACCAGCTATATTCAAATTTAATGATAAATGTGACATCTGTTAATTGTATGGGGCCACTTTGCTTTGTCAGTTCAACAACATAAATTAGGAAACACACAATAATCATAACTGATTTTTCTCTGCTATTCAGTTCAAGCTGTAGAGGAAAAGTGCAGAAATAGCACGTTCCTGCTGGAAAAGCATATATTGTAAACTCTTAATACATAAGCAAAATCTGAATTTCTAGGCACTTAATATTTTTGAAAGAGGCTGTAATTTAAAAGATTATGGTGGCAACAAGCAAAATGGACTGCCACAGTCAGGAGTATGAAACATTTGTCTACAATGAAAACAGACCTAAAAAAGCCTTTCTACATCATCATGGTAATTACCTGCTTCAGGCCATACTTAATCCTCCTATTCAGACAAAAATCTAATCATGTTAGTGCTGTGGGTTCATGCAAGTGATAAAAGAAGAGGCTTCCCTATACCAAAAAATCCCTCTTTATACCCCCATCCTGAGATTTTACTACCTTGTCCCATGCTATGAAGCACAACACAATTCAAAGGAGTGCTGCTACTTTTAGAAGTGATGGAAATTTACACTGAACTGTAGCATGATCTGGGCAGAATCCTGCTGTCCCTTATTGCCATACATCTCATTAATTCTAGGAGTTTTGCAGAAATATAGAAATAGGTGTTAGTGAATGCTGCAATTTTACTGCTTGTACACATCATGACCTGACTGAGTTACTGATACACCAGCTGACAGAAGAATACAGGGCTTGTACTTGTAAGTAACTGGCAACATTAAGTGTTTTGATGCATGGAGAGGGGAAGAACAGTAAATATACTACAGGACTTAATCTAAACTTGTTGAAGAACTCTAGTCCAGTGTGAGTCCTGAAAAGTTTAGAAACTGGCCAGGGGAAAAAAAGGCAGGGGAGGCATTTTAACTTTACTGACTAAAATTAATCTTTGGTTATAGATCATTCCAATTCTTTCTCTGTAGAAAATGATAGATCTGGTTATGGAGAGAGTGTATGCTACAAAATTCTGATTAAACAAATACTTGCTGCTAACTAGTGGAAGTTGCATCGCCTGCCAGACTGAGAAACTTCACTGTTTGCACAACTCCCAGAAGCCATGAGAATCACTTTGGTGTTTGATTAATTTCTCTTGTGAGCTTAGCGCAGCGATAAAAATTTAATTGCTCATCTGATCCTGAGCAGAGGTGCCGGGGCTGTGTCTCGCAGGATGCTGGGATGAGCCTCGATGGGGCGGTGGAGTTACTGCTCCGAGGGCTGCGCCTCCTGCCAAAGGGCGCCCCTGCTTTCTCTGCAAGCTGCTGACAGAGTCGAGAGCTCAGACGCGGCAGGGCTGGGAGCCTGTGGGCACTTAGTCCCCTCTGCAATAATCATGTGGAGCGGGCTCCGCAGGGCAAGCCAGAGCATGGGGAATTAAGTGGCTGCTCTTCGTCCAGGACTGAGCCCTCCTGTGCCAGCTCCGTCTGAGCCGAGCAGAATTTCCGTACGAGGCTGTGCCGCGCTCGCAAACGCGCCGGCTGCCCCTGGCCGGAGGTGCCCGGCCGGGACGCGCTTACCTGGCTCCGGGCGGGGCGGAGAGCGCCGGGCTGGGCTGGGCTGGGCTGAGCTGGACTCAGCTGGGCCGAGCCGGGCTGAGCCGTGCTGAGCTCCGTGCCGGCCGCGCCGCTCCTCCCGCTCCGTGCGCGGCCCCTCCGTTTATAGCGAGGGGCGTTGCGGCACGGCCCCGCTCGCCCGCCGCTCTCCCCACCCATCTCCGGGACCGACCCCGCTGACCCGGCTCCCTCCCACCGCCCCTCCTTCCCCGCGGGGCCGGGACTCGGGGTCGCTGCGGGAATTGCGGCTGCCAGGCTGTGCGGATGGGTGAAGGATGCGCATGGGGACCCCTTCCTTGCCTTTGCCTCCAGCTTTCAGGGGAAGGGGTTGATGTATATGGGTAGGAGTGATGTATAAACATTCGCAGTTTCTCCAAGACTCTCCCGGGCTGCCAGCGAGCACAGCTGAAATGTTCTGATCGTCACTTATGAAGTTAAATGTGTACTTGCCATAATAAATCTGGCAAACTTTATTCTCTGGGAGTGGAGGGGAGAAGAAAGAGAGGAAACCCCCTCGGAATACCTGTTCTAGGAGGACTTTTCAAGTCACTGGTACTGTAATTTAAAGAAAGGATTTTGTATACGAGGGATTTTTGCTTACTTGTGTGTTTCTAATTCTGCTAAACCGGGGAACAACTTTTCAGGCAGGATT